TATAATGTATGGATATTATGGTATGTCAACTATACCTCAGTTTCAAAACAGTAACAACCAATATCCCACAACATCTGGAGGATCCCTAACTGCAGGTTCCTATATACAGTGAAAACCTTTTGGGATACTTTCTGGTAGAACTGTGGTTTTCTGGCAAAGAACTATGAAAGGGATTTCTCCATTAACGGTGTTTCTTCAAAGTCAGCACATGTAAGAATCACCTGGAAAACCTGTTGACAGACCAACCCCTCTCCTCCCATGTGGATTTAGTAGGTCTGGGGTGTGGTCCATAAATCTGCATTCCTAAAAGCTCCAGGACCAGTCATTAAAAACAGAGATTTCAAAGTCCCACCAGATATCTATTATATCCAAATCTCTAAGAAAGGAGAACCTGGGAATCTGTACCTCTTACAGGTATCAGGGAGAACCTTATGATTGATCTCATGGTTTAGTACTCCATGAGCTACAACACTCTCATATACCATTAACTCCAAGGATTTTTATAAGTGGTTTCAAGAGTAAAATCTGTGTGTTCCTGGGTTGAAAATGACTAAGTAAATTATCTGTATTTTAAGTGATTCTAAGTCTTTAGGATTCTGCCTTAGGCCTTTCTAAATAAAGCAATTTGCAGGAAAGCAACTTATATTTATTCACAGTATTCTAAATATAATTTCGCATTAAAAAAAAAGTTTTCCAAACAAATTAAAAGTAATAAAAAAGAAAGTTTTTGCCATTAAAAACGTTTAGGCCACTTTTCAAGTTTAGTCTAATTTTAAATCTGTTCATTTTAAAACCACATTTTTCTGAATTTTTAACAGGGGTGTGTAATTGTTAGATATGTAGGAACTATTAATTCTATACAATTCTGATAGGCACTGATAACAGCAGCAACCATGCCATTTTCAATGGTTCAATTCAAGGATTTACTACATACCTACTGAAATGTAATGCTGTGCTTAACACAGAGGTTAAACACGGAAGATACAGTTCTTACCAGGAATTCACCAGTGATTATAAAACAATAGTACTCAACGTCACTGTATACTGGAGCGGATGGGGAATTTTTACAGAAGTAGGACTGTGTCCTAGAATAAAAAATAACAGCACTTAAATTATTTTCAATTTCTCTTATCAGTATGGCTCAAAGGAGTGGGAGGACTCATCGTCTTGCACACTGGAATGCCATGTTGTATGAAACAGAAAGAGCCAGACTGCAGATCGTGCTTAGAAGAACACACACACAGGACTTCCCGGAGAGCATCTTACTGTTTCTTCAGAGATTCTTATTTAACTGGCTTAGAGTGGGGCTCAAGCTCCCCAAGGAAAGTGTTCTGTGGTAAATTATGTTTCTAAAGATAGTTGCAACAATAGTGTCCATCTCATCAGCTCTTCCGCAATGTCCCCTCTCCTGCCCTTCCCCTTGTCACAGTGCCAAACCAAATTCTTGTTTTGACAAACAGAACATGCAGAAAGCCACACCATGTAACTTCCAAGGCTAGCAGGCCCCAGGAGAATTACAGCTTCTGCCTCTGCTGCCTGGTATGCTCACTTTTGGAATTTAGCTGCCAAACAACAAAACCCAAGCTAGTCACAACTAGAGAGCCAGCCACAGCAAGACAGAGAAAGTTTTACCTCCTCGTCATGCCCACCAACTTGCCAGATGTGTGAACGAAGCCATCTTAGCCATTCCAGTCTCTATCTGACTACATGTCATGAGACACCCCAACTGTTAGTCACATAGAGAAGAACCATCCAGCTGAGCCCTGCCTGAATTCCCAAGTCAGAGAATTATGATCAAATATAAAATAGATGTTGTTTTAAGCCATTAAGTTTTGAGGTAGGTTTTGTTGCCTAACAACAGACAACAAAAATAGGCTTCAAGTCTGCTCTAGAACATTATTCTAGGTAAATGATATACAGATCATAGCCAACATGGTCACTACATGTTGAACTACATAGTGAACTTGGTCACTACACCTCAAGAGTGAGAAAAGCTTGAAATCTAGCTATCAGAAGGAAGAAAATAAGTGTTCACAAGCAAGATCAAATCCACTTCCTTATCATAGACTTTTCCACATTTGTCAGCAAAAGGTTTTGTTGCTTCCCAAATTTTGTATTAGGAAAGCAGGTTATGAGAGTGCTTTAACTCCTTTCTAAAGGCCATGCTAGGCTGGGTGCGGTGGCTCACACCTGTAATCCCAGCACTTTGGGAGGCTGAGGCGGGTGGATCACGAGGTCAGGAGATTGAGACCATCCTGGCTAACATGGTGAAACCCCGTCCCTACTAAAAATACAAAAAATTAGCCAGGCGTGCTGGCAGGCACTTGTAGTCCCAGCTACTTGGGAAGCTGAGGCAGGAGAATGGCATGAACCCAGGAGGTGGAGCTTGCATTGAGCCTAGACTGCACCACTGCACTCCAGCCTAGGCGACAGAACAAGACTCCATCTCAAAAAAAAAAAAGAGGCCATGCTAACTAAAATCAGTGGTTAGTGAGATGTTTTCAGCTCAGTACTCTTCTTCCTCTAAGCACATTCTATTCATAGATTTGGGTTCCAGAAACCATTTTTTTACAATTTTAAAGGAGATGGAAGAAAAGGTGAATTGAAGAGAAGGTCTGGGGTACAGGATATCTACCCACAAACAAGAAGAGTGGGCCAGAAGTAGTGGCTCATGCCTGTAACTGCAGCACTTTGGGAGGCCGAGGTGGCGGATCACCCGAGGTCAGGAGTTCCAGACCAGCCTGGCCAACATGGCGAAATCCTGTCTATACTAAAAATACAAAAAATTAACCAGGTGTGGTGGTGCACGCTTGTAATCCCAGCTACTTGGGAGGCTGAGGCACAAGAATCACTTGAACCCAGGAGGCAGACACTAGATCATGCTACTGTCTTCCAACCTGGGTGAAAGAGGGAGACTGAAACAGGAAAAATACAAAAAAAAAAAAAAAAGAAAGAAAGAAAAGAAAAGAAAAGAGAAAAGTGAAGACCAAGTGACATTAAAACTGAGTATTTCCAGGCTGCCTTGTTTAACGAAACAAATGAGGCACAGGACTGGCATTGCACACCTATCCACCGATGTGTTCCAATCTTAAGAGTTTGTTGAAACAGGAGGAAGAAAAGATCCTGGCTGGATACAGATCTCAACAGTATCATCCATTCTGCTCATTATGAAAGCTTCAAAAGATGATGCTGGAATTGACAGATTCAAATTCTAGCTCTGTCAATTCCCATCTGTAAGATGGAAATAGTTTCTTTCCACCTCTTGGGATTGCTGTGAGGGAAAAAATAAGAGCATGTGTAAAGTACTAGCTCAGTGCCTGGTACAGAACAGGCACACAAGAACTGTCAAGTTCACGCTTACTTTCTCTCTTCTCTCCCAAATCAACGCAACTGGACCTATATAAAAGGGCTGCATAGTCCAAGCATCTTCTTGAATATACTCAAAGCAAACACAATTAAGAAATGGAATCACACATGGCTCAGTTCAGAGTGGCCAAGGGAATTAAACATATGTATGTACACATACATATATACAAACATATACCATCCAGGTATAATCTGGACAAATCTTTACCCAGTTATTACACAGGTATTAGTATCCCTTTTAAACATTTAAAATTTGAACAGCTGAGAAAGAAAATGAATGAAGTTGCTTCTACATTTAGACAGGATGTCTAAAGTTCTTTGGATGAAAGAGCAGATAACATAAATGCCGAAGAACAGGGCGGGCTTGTGTAGAGATGGATCCTTAAAAGGAGAATTGTGGACGTGAGCTCTGAGCCCAAGGCAGCTAAGCAAGTCTGAATGATCCCAACTCCTGAGAGCTGGCTAGTGAACACTTTAATGATTGGAATTAACAGAGCCTTGAATCTACCTACCACTTGGGAAAGAGAAGCTTAGCTCTCCTAGGTTTAAGAAGGAGACTGAAGACTCCCAGTATGATCCTTCTCAATTCTTATATAAGGTAGTAAGTGGAATCTGCCAATCTAACTGGCATTAAACTGATAACAGGCCTAAATGGCCTATTACAGCCCAACCTTTACCTGTCTCTGTACACTAAAATTTCCCTATTTAGCCACTTGAACCACAGAACCAGAAAAATAAGACTATATGTACTTTTCAGGTGTCAGCTTCATATAGCTCAAGATCTTACGACGTCTGCTATATGAACTGTGAATTCTAGATTTTATTATTTAGGGCCTACTCATTCACCTTCCTCTCAGATACAGTGGTAGAATTTGAGGCGATGGTAGTGCACTTAGAAGAATGGACTGCTGAATGTGTACTTCTGAACCCATTTAAAGCCAGATTCACCTGGGTAAATAATAAAAGACTTTTTCTTAAATTTAAATTTTTTTAAAGATAACTGTTTAAAGCAAAAGCAAAAACAAAAACCAAGCCCGCCTGCCAAAAGAAAAAATGTATTCTGAGGTTGAGCATGGACATGCCTGTGTGGGTGTATGAAATATATGAGAGCAATGTCCCAGAGGTTAGGAGGATGTAAGAATATTGTTGCAAGGTTCTTACACTATACATGAAGTGGTATAATACTAACTGAAGGCACACTGTGATAATAAGTTAAAAGACACATACTATAAAACCTAGAGCAACTACTATTTTTTTTAAGCCAGAGGCAAAGCTAATAAACCTGTAAGTAGAGACAAAATGGATTATAAACTTTTATTGTGCTCGCTTCGGCAGCACATATACTAAAAAAATTGGAACGTGGCCGGGCGCGGTGGCTCAAGCCTGTAATCCCAGCACTTTGGGAGGCCGAGACGGGTGGATCACGAGGTCAGGCGATCGAGACCATCCTGGCTAACACGGTGAAACCCCGTCGCTACTAAAAATACAAAAAATGAGCCGGGCACGGTGGCGGACGCCTGTAGTCCCAGCTACTTGGGAGGCTGAGGCAGGAGAATGGCGTAAACCCGGAAGGTGGAGCTTGCAGTGAGCCGAGATCGCGCCACTGCACTCCAGCCTGGGCGACAGAGCAAGACTCCATCTCAAAAAAAAAAAAAAAAAATTGGAACGTACAGAGAAGTTTAGCATAGTCCCTGCACAAGGATGACATGCAAATTCATGAGGTGTTCCATATTTTAGAAAATAAAATACATTTAATTAAAAAATTAAAACTTTTTTGTTTCGAGATGAGGTCTCCCTCTGTTGTCCAGGCTGGAGTGCAATGGAGTGATCTCGGCTCACTGCAACCTCCACCTCCCAGGAGCAAGCAATTCTCCTGCCTCAGCCTCCCGAGTAGCTGGGATTACAGGTGCCCACTAGCATGCCAGGCTAATTCTTGTATTTTTAGTAGAGATGGGGTTTTGCCATGTTAGCCAGGCTGGTCTTGAACTCCTGACCTCAAGTGATCTGCCTGCCTCAGCCTCCCAAGGTATTGGGATTACAGGCATGAGCCACCACGCCCGGCCAAAAAAATAAAAAACTTTTCTTAATCCAAGGGAATGCCTCAAGTGGGCACATGCACAATTTCAGGAAGCACACTGTGCATGCGGCCCCTCCCAAGTGTTGGTGGCCACTGCACATGCGGACAGCCAACCCCAAGAGAATAATCAAGGGAGAAGTAACACAAGACCCTGAAAGCATGCCAACATATAAAACCCCAAGTCAAAGGGTCAAACTATGCATCTGATCTCTCAAGTCGCCCACTTGGCCCTCTTCCAAGTGTACTTTACTTCCTTTCTTTCCTGCTTTAAAGTTTTTTAATAAACGTTCACTCCTGCTCTAAAATTTGCTTCAGTCTCTACTTCTGCCTGTGCTCCTCAGTTGAATTCTTTCTCCTGAGGAGCAAGAATTAAGGTTGCTGCAGAGCCATTCAGATTTGCGGGTGGTAACAAGATCACATCACTGCACGATCACTGCATTTGGGTGACAGGGTAAGATGTCTGAAAAAAGAGAAAAATCGAATTATATACTTTTATTTTTTTGAGACGGAGAGTGAGACTCTGTCTCAAAAAATAACAATAAAAAATAAAACTATAAAACAATGATGAGAAAAATTAAAGAGCACTTAAATGAAGCTAGACAAATACCATGGTCGTGAATTGAAAGTTGCAATATTGTTAAGATGTTAACTTTCCTCAATTTTATCCTTAAATTCAACATAATCCCAATCAAAATTCCTGCAAGCATTCCTTTTTTTTTTTTTTTGTAGAAATAGACAAGCTGATTCTAAATTTTATATGGAAATTTGAAAGCCTGAGAATACCCTAAATAATTAAGAATTTAAAAAAAGAATAAAGAAATCAAATAATATTTGACTTCAAGACTTATTATATAACACCACAGTAATCAAAGGAACATGGTATTGGCATAAGGACAGACATTAAAGAAAAACAGAATAAAGTCTAGAAATAGACTCTACATGTATTGCCAATAGTACCCTTAAAGCTTCCATGGTAATTCAGTGGAGGAAAGGATAGTCTTTTCAATATGTGACACTGGAACAACCGGTGGAATAATGAACTTTACAAGGAAGTGCAAGACTTGTAGCACTGAAAACTACAAAATATCACTGAAAAAATTAAAGAAAATCAATAAGTGGCACACCTGTAATCCTAGCACTTTGGGAGGCCGAGTTGGGAGGATCATTTGACGTCAGGACTTTGAAACCAGCCTGGCCAACAAGTGAAACCCCGTTTCTACTAAAAATACAAAAAAATTAGCTGGGTATGGTGTAATCCCAGCTACTTCGGAGGCTTAGGCAGAAGTGATTGAACCCAGGAGGCAGAGGCTGCAGTAAGCTAAGATCACACCACTGCACTCCAGCCTCGGTGACAGGACAGGACTCCGTCTCAAAAAAAAAAAAAAAAAAAAAAAGAAAAAGGAAAAGGAAAACCTAATAAACGGAAGCAGCTGGGCGCAGTGGCTCACACCTGTAATGTCAACACTTTGGGGCGCTGAGGCGGGCAGATCGCTTGAGCCCAGGAGTTGACCAGCCTGGGCAACATGGCGAATACTCCCTCCCTACAAAAAATACAAAAATTAGCTGGGCACGGTGGCCCATGCCTGTAGTTACAGATGCTTGGGTGGCTGAGGCAGGAGGATTGCTTGAGTCTGGGAGGCAGTTTGCAATGAGCTGAGATCCAGTCATTGCACTCTAGCCTGGGTAACAGAGTGAGACCCTGGCTCTAAACAAACAAACAAACAAACAAACACATAGAAGACTTCCATGTTCATGGCATCCCATTTTAATACTGTTAAGATGGCAATACTCTCCTAATTGATCTAGAGACTCAACACAATCCCCATCAAAATCCCAATTGTCTTTTTCAGAGATAGATAGATATAAGCTGATCCCGTTCCAAAATTCATATGCAACTGCAAGGGACCCGAAATAGCCAAACAATCTCCAAAAAGAAAATCAAAGATAAAAGACGCATACTTCCTGGTTTTGATATTTACTACAATGCTATGGTTACCCACATAGTGTAGAATTGGCATAAGATAAACATATAGACTAGTGCAATATTAAAAGAAATTGAGAGTAACGAACTAATCACATACATCTATAGTCAACTGATTTTCAACAAGGGTATCAAGGCCATTCAAAGGAGAATGAACAGTGTTTTCAATAAATGCTACTGGGACAACTGAATTATCTACATGCAAAAGAATGTGGCTTGGACCCCCAACCTCATACCACATACAAAAGTTAATTCCAAATGGATCAAAGACCTAAATATAAGAACTAAAAGTATAAAACTCTTAGAAGGAAACATAGATGGAAATCTTCTTGACCTTCCATTAAACAACAAATTCTTAAATATGACACCAAAAGCAAAAGCAACAAGAGACTTAAAACAGATATCATATTAGCTTTCAACAAAATTAAAGACTTTTAGGGCCGGGCGCAGTGGCTCACATCTGTAATCCTAGCACTTTGGGAGGCCGAGGCGGATGGACCACAAGGTCAGGAGATCAAGACCATCCTGGCTAACACGGTGAAACCCTGTCCCTACTACAAAAATACAAAAAAACTAGCTGGGCATTATGGCATGCGCCTGTAGTCCCAACTACTCGGAAGGCTGAGGCAGGAGAATTGCTTGAACCCGGGAGGTGGAGGTTGCAGTGAGCTGAGATCCCACCATTGCACTCCAGCCTGGGCAACAAGAGTGAAACTCTGTCTCGAAAAACAAACAAACAAACAAACAACACAAAAAAAGACTTTTGTGCTGCAAAGGATACTATCAAGAACATAAGACAACTTACAGAATGGGAGAAAAAGTTTGCAAATCATGTTCTGATAAGGAATTAGTATATCTAAAATGTATAAAAATGTCTTAACTCAACAACCAAAAGACAAACAATTCAACTAAAAAATTTACAAAGGACCAGGTGCAGTAGCTCATGCCTATAATACCAGCACTTTGGGAGGCCAAGTCAGGAGGATCACTTGAGACCCAGACCAGCCTGGGCAACATAGCAAGACCCTGCCTTTACAAAAATTAAAAATTAGCTGGGCATGGTGGTGTATGCCTGCAGTGCCAGTTACTCAGGAGGTTGAGGCAGGAGGATCACTTGAGCCAAGATGTTCAAGGCTGTAGTGAGCTATAAGCATGCCGCTGCACTCCACCTGGGTGACAGAACAAGACTCTGTTTAAAAAAATAAAAAAATTGACAAAGGACTTGCATAGACATTTCTCCAAGGACTATATATGAAGAGCCAATAAACGCAAGAAAAAGCCAGGTGCGGCGGCTCATGCCTCTAATCCCAGCACTTTGGGTGGCTGAGGTGGGCAGATCACCTGAGGTCAGGAGTTCAAGACCAGCCTGTTCAACATGGTGAAACCCCAACTCTACAAAAATACAAAACTTAGCCAGGCATGATGGCGGGCGCCCATAATCCCAGCTACTTGGGAGGCTAAGGCAGGAGAATTGCTTGAACCCAGGAGACGGAGGGTATAGTAAGTCGAGATCGTATCCCTGCACTCCAGACTGGGCGACAGAGCAAGACTCCGTCTCAAACAAACACACACACACACACACACACACACACACACACACACGAAAAGATGCCCAACATCCTTTGCAAATCAAAACTATAATGAGATACCACTTGAGAATCACTAAGATGGCTACTATCAAATAAGACAGGTAATAATAAGTGTTGGAAAAGATGTGGAGAATGAGAACCCTTATATACTGTTGGTGGGAATGTAAAATGGTGCAACTGCTTTGGGAAATAGTCTGGCAATTCCTCAAAAAGATCCAATTAAAGTTACCCAGCAATTCTACTGGGTAGATCCGGTAGAATGGACCCGACCCAGTAGAATCGACCAAGCAATTCAACTTGTAGGTAAATACAGCTGGGTGCAGTGGCTTATGTCTGTAATCCCAACACTTTGAGAGGCCGAGATGGGGAGAATGCTTGAGTTCAGGAGTTTGAGAATGGCCTGTGCAACATGGAAAAACCCTGTCTCTACAGAAAATACAAAAAATTAGCCAGGCATGGTGGCACGCACATGTAGTCCCAGTTACTTGGGAGGCTGAGGTGGGAGGATCACTTGAGCTTTGGAGGTCAGGCTGCAGAGAGCCAAGATAGCACCACTGCTCTCCAGCCTGGGGGACAAAGTGAGACCCTTTCTCAAAACAAACAAATAAAAAATCTTAAAGAAAAAAAAATTTTTCTTAAGTAAAACAAGAAAATGTCTACACAAAAACTTGGATACGGCCGGGCACGGTGGCTTACCTGTAATCCCAGTGCTTTGGGAGGCTGAGGCAGGAGGTCATGAGGTCAGGAGATCGAGACTATCCTGACCAACATGGTGAAACTCTGTCTCTACTAAAAATACAAAAATTAGCTGAGTGTGTAATCCCGCTACCTGAGAGGCTAAGGCAGGAGAATGGCTTGAACCCAGGAGGCGGAGATTGCAGAGAGCCAAGATTGTGCTAGTGCACTCCAGCCTGGGCAACAGTGAGACTCCATCTCAAAAAAATAAAACAAAACAAACAAACAAACAAACAAAAACAGGTCAGGCGCAGTGGCTCACACCTGTAATCCCAGCACTTTGGAAGGCCGAGGCAGGCAGATCATGAGGTCAGGAGTTCGAGACCAGCCTGGCCAACATAGTGAAATCCCATC